TGTCAGACTGAACTCATCCTCACACACACATACTCCCCAGCAGAAATCTGCTGCTCTTCCTCTACATTGCCTTAGTTAGGGTATCATTGTCTACCTAGTCACCAAAAGCAGATACCAGAGAGTCAATCTTCTTGCCCAACCCAACTCACCCCATTCTATCCCAGAAGTCACTAAGTCCTTTTGATCCTATATCCTAAATATACCTGTGTCCTAAATATCCAAATCCATCCCCTTTTTTCCATCTGCACTGCTGCAGCTCTAATTTGGGTCTCAAGTCTCAGTAGGATTATTTTTTTAATTGTGGTAAAATATTCATAACAATATTTACCATATTAACCATTTTAAGTGTTTGTTTAACGGCATTAGGTACATTCACAGTGTTGTGTTCACTAGGATTTTTTTAATGAGGTAGTATCTGGTCTTCTTACTTATAGGCTAACCTGCTTCCATCCTTTCTCTATATTCTTGCCAGTGATCTTTCTGAAATGCAAATAACATTACTAAATAAGTTGAACCTGTCTCATTGCTTCCTACTGCCTATATTAGTGGTTTCATCACAAAGTTTTCGCAGGTCTAAACTGAAATGATGGAAAAAAATACATTGTACCAAGTTTTTCTAAATTTTTTCAGCTTAAAGCCTGAGTGAATGATTGAATGGCAACATTATCAAGGAAAAAAAATCAAGATAAACTGAAACATGCATGGGAGGTAAACTAGTAAGTTTTGCTTTCGATATGCTGAGTATCATATGCCTATGGTGTAAGCAAAAGATGTCTTGAAGGCAGTTGCATATGTGAGTCTGGAACTCAGAAGAGAATTTTGGAATGGAGGTCTGGATTTGGAAGTCATGAGCATGTAAGTGTCATCAAGGGAGCAAAAATTATCTTTTCAGGAAAATAGGAAAAGTGTAAAGAAAAGATTACAAAATACATCAACATTAAAAAGACCAACAGAAGAAGAACAGCTGTAGTGGTAAAAGAAAAAAAATTACATTTAAAGCCTTCTTCTCACCCTTCTGCAATTATTTAAAGAGGGCAAGACCTTTAATAGTAATGACAACCCCTAGGTGCAGCATTTTTAGTGACTTTGTCTCCTCTGCTGGAAGGATGATTGTTATCCATCTTTCTTGGATTTCTCTGGTTCTTTCTCTTTGGGGGGAAAAAAGCCAGACAAGTTTGATGGAGGAACTTCATTGCCTAAACAATAGGAATGCTTTTCTGGAGATAATGTTGCCTAGCAAATAAGAATTCTCCTACTCTCATATTGACAAATACAAAAATTATTTTCAAAAATCGAATCTATAGTGAGATACTTACAATTCAATTCATGAGGAATTTGTTCTGTTTTCACTCCTTTCTATCCCTTTACAATAAAATTATCTAGTCAATAAGAGTAATTCAAGCTCACAGAAATTCAGAAATAAGCTTTAAGAGTCTTGTGGAAGCAATGTGGCACATTGGAGAGATCAGGGGCATGGTAGTTAGACCTAGCATCACATCCCAGCTCCAAAACTCATCAGCTGTATGGCTCTGATCAAATTACCCTCTATATGCTTTGGTTTTATCATCCAATAATAATATGTACTCCATAGAGTTATAATGAAAATTAAATATGTGCATAAATTATTTCTCATCGTTCCAGACACATAGTCAGTAATCATTAAGTATTACTTGTCTTTCAAAATATATCACAGGGCTTGCCAGTTAGCTTAGTTGGTTAGAGCATGGTGTTATAACACCAAGGTCAAGGGTTCAGATCTCCATACTGGCCAGATGCCAAAAATATATGTATATATGCTTATAATATATCTCTTACAATATTCATTAAGAGTAAAAAATGGAAGTAAGTAAATCAAGTAGGAAAATTGGTAAATAACTTATGGTTAATCTACTTTCGATGGAAAACTGCATTCCATTATAGTATATGAGGATACTTCAAGAAAAGTTCATGGAAAAATGGAATTATAATATGAATCTCTCCATGAATTTTTTGAAGACCCCTTGTACACATATTGTATAATTTCATAGAAAACATAAAAATAATGTTAATTATTAAAATAGGATTTGTACCTAAAATATAGCCGAAAATATATTTTAAGCTTATATAGAAATTATATCATAGCAAATAATAGATTATAACTATTATTTCCTAATTGTGTACAATGTCATAAATTTACTTTCTTGTAATATGTTGTTACTAAAATAGCAGATGAAATACAGCAGCAGATACTTTACCAATTTGACTTAAGTAAAAACTTGAGGAAAATTTTTTAATGACACTATGAAAACAAATAGTGCATTAGCCTATAATCTGAAGTGTGTAAGTCTCTGGTAACCCAAAGCCTAACTGAAATAGCTCTGAACTAAAAACAAGGAAACCAGGACCAGATTTGTCACTGTTTTACCTCAGAAACGTTCATAAAGGTTTACCTGTCTGTGCTTCAGTTTCTTCATATTTAAAATGAAGAAATCCTAATCCTAGCTTGAGCCCTTTTCCAACTTCATGAAGCCCTTGGGAAGATATCACTTAGTAATATGTAAAGCAGTTGGATCCTATTATAGTGAGCTACATAACTTTTTTAAGGATATTATTGATTTGAACAGTAAAGAATAGCCTGCAGGCAAATCCTGCAAGGTGCTTCAACAGACACACACGCCTACCTTCCTGTTGGCACAGCCCATGTTTGGCAGGTGTATTCCATTCCTTACAGGAAGGAATAGGTGCTTCATTGTGTTTCACAAGTCAGTATGCTTTTACAAAACTAAGTAATTGACATTTTTCTCATTTCTGAGATCAAATTTTCATAAATCATTCAACCTGGGTAAACTAAGAATGTGGTTGATCTAGTAATTGTTGAAATATAGTGGAGACATTACAAAACATGATATTTAAGTATTTCCTTCTATCATCTTACCTTAGCAAGATATGAGGGTTCTAAATGGAAAGATGTCCTAATATATAAAAAGGAAACAAAAATAAGATGAGGCTATCTGTAAAGGAGAAGCCAAAAGAAGGACAACACAGATTCGTCTCAGTAATTTGGGATTTCATTGATTTCTGAATTTGTAGCACTAATAATAACTATACCAAATAGGGCTTACTTTTATATTATGTGGAAGTTTGGTTTTTCTCTTTTTTTTGTAACTAGATAGTAGTATAAATGATATTGGAGGGAGGGATATACTTAACCAACTTGAAAGCAATATTTTCTGGCTTTTAACAATATATGCAAAGAAATGCTATTAATGGCTTGTCAAGATTTCTACTGGGAACCATTTGTTAACTGTTAATTTAAGTTACTATCAGATTTTAACAATAAACTTAAAATTTCATAGTGTCGTTCTGTAATTCGTGCTAACATTTTTCTTCCCCCTCCTCCACAATTCAAGTTAATGAAACTTTGCCTTAAAGGATTCGTGTAGTCCCATGAATCATAATATTAAGAGTGTCTAAGATAACACTAGTTTTTACCACTAGGGAAAGTCTAACTAATACAGACTAATCTGCAAATGCAATGAATTTTCCAGTGAATCTTCTAGGTCAGGTATCTGTACCACTGGACTATTTTGGTGGGTGTATAATAATTATGTATAATTTATAGTTGAGAAATTTGTAGTAAGAAACTTAGGCAAGATATGCCTTTTTACTCTAAGACCATTACTACATTTCTTAAAGCAAAGATTTCTGACCACTGAATTATTTTATTTCATAATCCGGTTTTCTGTTAACAGAATTCTTGATGAATGCAGAATCATCCAATAAACTTGATCTAGTTTTCAGCAGTGTATGCAGTTGATTTGTCCATTTCATACCGAAACTCTAAACCAGTGTGTATGACACTAAGAATACCCTCATTCCTTTAGTGTCTAACTCTGTACTGTGTTTGTTTGCAAAGGACCGTCATGCATGGATCCATATAAATAAGGCAAACTGTGGAGCAGACTAGACTATGTCGCTCTGCAGTCTTTAAGGAGGGAAGTTTGGTACTTTCTTTCATATACAGAAAACTGCTGGGCATGATTTTCACTTGTAAGGAAGATTTGTGTGTGGAGCATCAAGCAGGATTGTTGGTTGAGGTTTTATGCTTTCAGTAAAGAAAATAAAAGAAAAAAACCAATTAATGATCTGATTCATCTTTTGTCAAGCGAAACTCTCACTGATCCACATGAATGTGATTTCCCACCCATAGAGTAGCCTAAGAATACTGCAGAATGGACTTCTGAACTTTCGACTCTTTTCAGTTTAACTGGTGGGTTTTTAATCAACTAAAAAAATCATTTTTTTTTAAACTAAAAAGCCTACATAAGTAATTCCTTGCCTATAAATAGTATTATGCTATTTATCCTACTCAGAAATAGATGTAGTACAGGAAGTCTGGTTTCATTAGCATTAAATCATTTGCATATAATTAAATTATTTCCATGCTACTGAGAAAAATTTTTTTCACCTAGCTGCCTAATTCCTGGCTTTATTTTCATCTGCTAACTCTATGAAACAGAAAGAAATTTAATGTGTAAGAGTTGTACAGTATACCAGCCAATGTGTTGCTTATTTAGCTAAGTAACAGGTGTAAGTTTGCTAGCATTTCTGTATTGAAATATGCGCTTCTCTTAGGTAAAAATCAGTTTGAAACTGTTCTGCGCTTAATATGCCATCCTGTTATTGCACAGTAAATGATTCATTCACAACCTTAATGCAAGTAGGTAAATATATTGAAATGAGTCCCTTATATATTTTATGTGGCATTTAGTGCTGACTTGATCCAAGGATCTGGGTTAAAGTTTGTGTTGTTGCTGTTTTTTTAACCTCAGATACTTGGCACTCTGCACCAGTGTCTCTCGCTTACAGTAATGCTTTGTTTCTTAACATGACTACAACTGCTTGGTCACAGGCAAATACTGTTCTTTTCAGCCAAAACATTCCTGACAATAATTGCACTTTTTGTTTTCTTTTTACCCCCCCCCCTTGCCCACCCCTACCCACCCCACCCCCCAACTTAGGTTGGAAAGGCTGGTGGATGTCCTGAGGAAGAAGGTTGGAACAGGGACCATGAGGACAGTGATCTGACTGAAAAAATGACAGTCTGGGGAAGCAATCACATCTGGTGACCAGGCTGCTTCATTCAACACTGTGTAAACACTAAAGCCTTAACTTAGCAAACAGTTGTTAGAAGTGGGACACTCCAACCACATTCCCTTTTCGGCCAAAACATTCCTGACAATAATTGCACTTTTTGTTTTCTTTTTTCCCCCCCCCCCTTGCCCACCCCTACCCACCCCACCCCCCAACTTAGGTTGGAAAGGCTGGTGGATGTCCTGAGGAAGAAGGTTGGAACAGGGACCATGAGGACAGTGATCTGACTGAAAAAATGACAGTCTGGGGAAGCAATCACATCTGGTGACCAGGCTGCTTCATTCAACACTGTGTAAACACTAAAGCCTTAACTTAGCAAACAGTTGTTAGAAGTGGGACACTCCAACCACATTCCAAGCTGAGATAAAATCAAATCACAAATGTTTAACCACTTTGCTGCTGACTTGAGTTATTTATCCAAATGTATTAACTACAGACTTTACCAATGGTTAGCTATAAGGTTGCAGCTTATTTTGTAACTTATTTTCTATCTCGATGTCTTTAATATAAATCTTTTTACTGAGAGACCTTTATAGAAGCATAGTAAAGTCAATCAGAATCATATCTTCACATATGACCCTTTCCGAATCAAAGTGCAGCAAAGTAAATATTGTATAAGCCTTAATCCACTATGTTAGGTCAAAACTTCACATGCATCACATATTTTTCAATATAGAGTATATTTCTTAATTGATGAGAGAGGCTCAGACATAAGAGTGTGTATGTAGTCTGCTTTCAATGCATGTATGTAATCTTTGTTAGTATTAAAAAATATTAAGTATAGATGCTATAAATTAAATGTATAATTTGCTTTAATAAGTTTGGCTACATTAAAATGATACTTATCGAGGCACGATTTTTGCTTCACTACAAATAATGTAGACTGTTTTCAATAAAAAGAGAACATTGTTCATGTGTACTTATAAATATATATTGTCAGTATTTTTTAACATAGGGTCTGGATAATTATTTAAACTGAAGCTGTAGAAATTGCCAAGTCTCTGTCTAATAGACTGGGATACTTTTGGTATGAAAACTAGCACGTGCCAGCATGTCTTTATTCTAAAAGGCAAGAGGCCATCAAACTTGTTAAATATTCATATTGATTTTCTTTTTTTTTAGATTATTATTTGAATTTTTGTTATGGAGGAAGGGAATTCAATATATAATATACAATAAAATTATAAATATAATGTAGAAATATAAGGACTCAGAAAAAAGTAAACCTGCAATTTGGTCCAGGTTACCTACTTTTTATTTTAAGAGATAACTTAAAATAATTACAGCATAGCAGTCCCTTCTAATCATGAAATTCTGAATAAAACTAAGATTTTATGTATTTGTCTATAGGAAAAATATCTTCATTTTTTAGATTGAATAGATGGGAGGCCAATAGGAAATGACTGTGGCTGGAACAGGATGAAGTAAACAAGTACAGATTGAATTAGTGAAAATTCTGTCGGCAAGTGAAAATTTTTCTAAGTCCATGCATTTTAATTCATCTTTAAGACTGAGCTAGATTATCTACCATTGCCTATTTTCAGGATAATTATATTCAGAACAGTTTATTGTGCCATTCCTTCATATACCATTGGAGATTATCTATTTTTAGGTTTTTTTTACTTTGCAGGAAAATGTAAGGTGCTTTGTCATAGGTGATGAAAGAATCATAATGCTAACAAAACCTATTTCTTCCTTATCATACCTGTATCCACTAAATTAACTGGTAGTTAGAATTATCCCATTGCATTGAAATTTAGCCTGCTTTTAATGATTATTTTAAACTATGAGAATTAGGAAATAAGGCACAGCAGGGGTTAAAAGTAAACTAACAATTTGTTCTATACTCAAAGAGAATTACAGCCTTTCATAGATCAGTGACTATATAAATGTAGAAATCTTTAATAATTTGGTCATTCACAGTCTTGTCACTGGCTGTAACAGAAACCCCTAACTGCTCCCTATGTGAAGAAACAGCACCTTTTAAGTCATTTAGGAGGTACAGATAAATCTCCCAAAAATGTTATATCCCCTTGAAAAATGAGTTGCCCACAAAATAACCAATGCAAAGTATCACAGTCAAATATTATCTTAATTGAATTCATAAACTTAAAAATGTCCACCAACAATATTTCAAATAGTCTTTTTCTTCTGTATGAAGGAATATCTTTGCTCACTTCAGATCAGTTCTTCTTTACATATTTAGTAATACAACTTCGGAAGTATTCCACACTGCTCAGAAATGTTGCTTTGAGTTTGCTTCATACATCATCAAGTCTAATTCCACTAACATGAGAATTCACTTCTCCTTGTAAAAATAAGTAGTTCAGAGGAGGAAAGGCAGAAAAGATAATACTAACATTTGTAGCACTTGATGATTTACAAAGTCCTTTCACATGTTTTTAAAATTTGATCCTATCAACAACCTTATGATAATAAATTTATATATATCATAATTGGCCACAATAATCAACCACATTGTATATCAACAAAATAAAAAAATATATAATAAAATATGTATAATAATTTTAATATTACTGTTATTATTATTACATTTATTCTATATATTAGGAAACAGACTCAGAGAGTCTTGGAACTTGCCAAGGACTGGCTAGGACTTAGAACTGAGGTCTCAATAACTACATTCCATGCCAATACAGGTTTCCAAACTTTTATATAAGAAAAGAATTTTAAAGTAAAGATTTTAACTCTTGTAATTTCTGTTATTATTGTACCATTTATTTTATATACATATTATGAATTCCCTGACAATCAAAAGATTGTGCACATTTCTTTCAATGAAGTACAATAATGTGGACTGCATGTGTAAGTATCATCACATTATTACCACCTCTTAGTGAGTATTCTAGTAGCAGCATGCTTTGCCTCAGCCTTCACTAATTAGGAATATGGTGGCAATTCATTGTTAAGAAAATATAACCTTGAGTTACTTTGTGATATTTTTAATTTGACCTGTTGCTAAAACTTGCTAGTATAGTTTTATAAAATGGCAGTCTAAACTTCATGGCTCACTCTACCTCCCAGAGCAACTGTTAGAGATAAAATCAGTTATACGCAAGGTTATTGGTTATAGGCAAGGTATAAGAAGTTATAGCGAAGTTATTAATTATTAATATATGAGAATTTTTAATTCTACTTGTTTAAACAAGCCATTGTTAGAAATTGTTTAAAATATTTAAAATAATAAAATATTTTACATACTTTTTTCAATAAGTTGATACTTTATATATTTCCCTATTCATATAAACTGAAGAACTTTCTTATCACATCACTTATCGATAGAAATAGTTTATTTCACAAAAAAGTTAGAATGTTAAAGATTTGTAGTTTTGATATTGAATATATTTGCATAGAAAAGCATTTTTATATGTAGCATTTTTAAAGATAATTATTTTTAAAGTTTCCATCTTCCTATAATAATGATTAATAAGGCATTACATGATAAAATGAATTTGACATATACATTTTGTCTTCTCACATATGGTATGTATGAAACCCAAATTTTTCACAGATATTGTTTTGTTGATAACTACTATTTACAGCTAACCTGTCTGTCCATGTATCATATGTGTGCACGTACACACACATAAAAAAATATATCTTCCTTTTTAAAAATTGATTTATAAGTTAACTGTTAGGCTCCAGTGATTTCAGCATTTTGTTCATGTCTTATTGGAAATGCACGTGGTTTCTGAGCCTTTTAAACAAATATATGGAATGGTTGAAAGATTTATATTGCTCATGCTTAGCTAAATATGTCATCTCTAGAAAAGATGTGGTTTATTTTGGCACTGTTTTAAAAACTAAAATATTTTAAACATTTGTTAAGTTGGAGCTTGCACATTTGAACTAGTAGCATACGTTCCAAAATAGAATATCAAGTTACCAAACTTTTTGTAATTCTTTTATTAGAATAACCTTTTCTGAAGAGGTTTTCTTTTCTGTTTTATTATGTGCTTTAATGTTAGGTAAGTTAAATTTATAAAGGTTAAAGTGTACTTTATAAATAGAATTTGACAATGATAAATATGTATTAATATTGTATACTATTGATATCCCTTTGCAGAAGTATTAATGTGCTTGTTTTTAATTTTATTGTTTTTTAAATATAGTTTTGGAATATGTTAGTACTTTAGAAGCCACCAGTTTCTTCACTCTCTGATTATTAACAAAGATATATTTTAATTCACAAACTCAAATATCTAAAATATATATTTACTTTTTATTCAAATAAAATCCCCTATTGCAAATCCTACACATTTCAATGCAATTCTTTTTTTTTTTTTTTGTCTTTTTTCCGTGTCCGGCAACGGATCGCAACCCTCAGTGTTGCCCCCGTACCCGACCGGGGACCGGCGACGGGATCGCAAGCCTCGGCGTTGCTCCCGCGCCTCGCTCAGCCAGTGAGCGGGAGCCGGTCTGTACGTGGGATCCGACCCCTCAGACGGGAGCGCTGCCGCGCTTTCCAAGCGGCGCACTATCCAGTGCGCCACCAGGCCGGCCCTTCAATGCAATTCTTTTTTTTTTTTTTTGTCTTTTTTCCGTGTCCGGCAACGGAACGCAACCCCCAGTGTTGCCCCCGTACCCGACCGGGGACCGGCGACGGGATCGCAAGCCTCGGCGTTGCTCCCGCGCCTCGCTCAGCCAGTGAGCGGGAGCCGGTCTGTACGTGGGATCCGAACCCTCAGACGGGAGCGCTGCCGCGCTTTCCAAGCGGCGCACTATCCAGTGCGCCACCGGGCCGGCCCTTCAATGCAATTCTTATACATTGATCTTAATCAAATTTATAAGTGTACAATCCTGAAGACACTGTACTAGATATGCACTATAAAATATATTGCAGTGAGGAAACAAGTTAAGTTCACTGTGAAACTGTCTGGCTTCCTTAAAAAGTTATATAAAGATAAAAGTCAACATGAACAAATTTGTTAGGTACCTTAGGAACCTTTCAAAACTATTTAGATATAAAATAAAATTATAGTAATAAAATATTAAAGAGAAAT